CAGTTGGATAATATTCATAATATCACTATGTAGAGCCCTCAATATGAGCCCCTGTATAGACTGTTACGTAATAGGCTGGGGCATGACTGAAGATGTATAACGGATAACGCTACCGGAGGTCATGGAGACGACTGAGCTTGCTCCACTGTGCCAGAAAGTGCAGGTCTCCGAGTAATGGAGTACATACAGGATGATATAAAGGGATCAGCTAGGGCTTGCTAATGTTTAGGGTTTGGGGTTTGAGGCTCAGAGTTTACGATTTGGAGTTCATGCTTCAGCATTTTTGTTTCTAGGGGGTTTCGCCCCGTCCGAGAAACCCGCCACCCTCTTGATAATAGACCTTCCTCGATTACAACTTGGCATGAATCCGAAACAGTTGGTCTTGGTCTGGTTTGTAGGTTATTTTCAGAAACTATCAGAGATTGGCTGAGGTAGCTTGGGTCGTCGCAGTAAGTATCTTAGAGGGGCTTTGTAAAGGGACAGTTCAGCTCTTATTGCCTTTTTTGGGAAATGTTTCCGCAACAGGGAAGGACTTAAACCCTAAACCGCGTACTCGTAATGCTGAAGCAAGGTATAGGCCTCAAGCATGAAATTTGCTACCTCCACGGACAAGAAGGTCGCAAAATGGCAACTGCTGTTTGAAGACAAACTTGCGAACCCTACTGTTAACATTCAACATCCTGCATGACAATAGTAAACTAGAATGCCGTACTTCCCCATTTTGTAAGGTTTCCAAAAGCATATAGTATCAACCCTAGATCCGTGAGCCCTAAAACCTTTATATCTGCAGCCGCAGACCCGAAAGAAGCCCTTCAACCCTGAATTCCTAAATGCAACTTTCCCAAAATTACACATATCTAAGCCCTCCCGGGGCCTCCTCGCGTAATCCCTTTTGATGCCTAGATATTCCTAGGTTTTCCTAAGGTAGTTCTTAGGAGAAGCTCCAACAAACCGCGCAAAACCAATAGGAGCTCGTCCGGCTGGTTGATGAAACAGCAAGCAAAGGCTCCTCTGAGGAGGCTTCTTCAAGACAGTTTACTGTTAAGGGATCATATGAGCTATAGTCT